CATTTGGGGCAGTTTCACCGGGAAATTACAAATGCTTATAATTAAGATATCCCTCTTTTTTTTAAGTTTGAAAATTTGAAATTTAATATATTTATCCTAAGCGGTTCTTTGTGTTTTTAATTCTATAAAGAATGTCCATCTTTGTATTTCTAACTCTAATGAATATTTACCTGATTAGAAACATATTTGTGTTTCTTATTCTCTAATTAATGTTAGCTTTCCTTGTTATTTATTCTTTATGTTTCTAATTATTTGTCGGCTTTCCTGGTTCTGTATTGTTTGTGTTTCTAATTCTGTAACGAATATCTGTCTGCTTTCCTGGTTCTGCATTGTTTGTGTTTCTAATTCTGTAACGAATATCTGTCTGCTTTCCTGGTTATTTACTGTTTGTGTTTCTAATTCTGTAATGAATATCTGTCTGCTTTCCTGGTTATTTATTGTTTGTGTTTCTAATTCTGTAACGAATATCTGTCTGCTTTCTCGGTTATATATTGTTTGTGTTTCTAATTCTGTAATGAATATCTGTCTGCTTTCCTGGTTATTTATTGTTTGTGTTTCTAATTCTGTAACGAATATCTGTCTGCTATCCTGGTCATTTATTGTTTGTGTTCCCAATTCTGTAACTAATATTTTCTACGTTCTTGGTCATTTATTGTATATATCTCTCTGCTTTCCTGGTTATTTATTGTTTGTGTTTCTAATTCTGTAACGAATATCTGTCAGGTTTCCTTGTTATTTATTGTATATCTCTCTACTTTCCTGGTTATTTATTGTTTGTGTTTCTAATTCTGTAACGAATATCTGTCTGCTTTCCTGGTTATTTATATTTTGTGTTCCCAATTCTGTAACTAATATTTGTCAGGTTTCCTTGTTATTTATTTGCAACAAGTCCATTATGCCCATTTTATCGCATCTGATGCCTAAAGAAGAACCGTTTCCAATTGTCATTTTACGAAATAGTTGTTAATATCTTTATCTCTCATCAAATAGTAACATAATTCGGTTTGCGGTATTAGTGCTGAACATTCAGATATCATAAAACTCTATCAATTTCATTTATTAAATAGAATTCCAACGACCAAAAACAAATACAAGTATTAATGAACATTTCTAGCGTATATCAACAGTACAGTAAACTACGTAAAATTGCAAAATACAACAGTAATGTTACATATATATATAAATGTTTCCTGTTAAGACAAGCTCTGTGAGGTAATGTAGCAGCCTTTACAATAATATATTAAAAAAAATACCTTCAATAAATATATTGTTTGACAGAGAAACTTACTATATAGTCTCAGAAAAAACAAAAACACGACATTCTACAACTGGCTGTTATATATCAGTTGGTCTCTGCCTACTTAGCTTTACTTACGTGATGTATCTCAGTTGGTCTCTGCCTACTTAGCTTTACTTACGTGATCTACGTGATGTATCTAAGTTGGTCTCGATATGAAAGATGGACTAAAGAGCATTTGAAGTATGGCGACATTTTGGAATATTAAATCAACAAAATTAGTTATGTCTACTGTCTTTTCAACTATTGAATATATATATATATATAATGACTTTTTAAGGTTAACACACTTTTTCTGCAAAGTTCTCATCCAAAATTGCTTTACTTACGTGATCTACCTCAGTTGGTCTCTGCCTACTTAGCTTTACTTACGTTATCTACGTGATGTATCTCAGTTGGTCTCTGCCTACTTTGCTTTACTTACGTGATCTACCTCAGTTCGACTCTGCCTACTTTGCTTTACTTACGTCATCTACGTGGTGTATCTCAGTTGGTCTCTGCCTACTTTGCTTTACTTACGTCATCTACGTGGTGTATCTCAGTTGGTCTCTGCCTACTCTTGCTTTACTTACGTCATCTACGTGGTAAAAGTAAGTAGATACCAACTGAGATACATCACGTAGATAACGTAAGTAAAGCAAAGTAGGCAGTAATATAAAAATAAAAAATAAAAAACGAACTTCAAGCTATTACCATAGGCTTTTATCGCCGAGTCTGCACGCACATACTTTGAAACTTTCAACACTAGTAACAAAATACAATTTATGTGATTTGCAGAGACATCTGTATTTATGTATCACAATAAAGAAAAGTTTAAGCCTAATATTGAGTATACATTTCAAAAGCCACTGAGATCTTGCTTGCATTATAGTTCAACAACTTCCGAGGAGTATGCAAAAAAAAAAAGTTAATTGTGACTCCAAATTTTCTGTGTGACTATACGTGCTAATTGTGCACGTCTTAAAGATAATGATATAAACACTTGTGCGTTTCTTTAGCTAATTTGGTTTATTTAGCCTCGTCTAATGTGTTTTATATAGGCTACTACTTTAATAAAACCTTTATCTGGACAACACAGTTCGCTTCGATAGACGTGCTAACAGAAATAATATTCAAAATCATCCCTACAGCCCCCCCCCCTTTCCCCAAGTAGGTCAGCGTTAAATCTGAAGGCTTATAACTCTAAAAACCGTGTTTCAATATCTGTGGTGGGCACAGCAAAGATAGCCTATTTTGTAGCTTTGTGCTTAAAAAGAAAGAAAAATTCTACAGACGTCCCTCTCCCCTGCCCTCCATTTTTTTTGCTTTGTTTTGAATGTGACGTAATCCATTTTCACCTCTAACGCTGATTGAACTGTGTTGTGTGTGTTGCAGATGTTTGTGAGATGTAATTTACATTTTGTAGTGAAGTAGAAACATTCTACGTGCTCACAAGCCCAACATTTGTAGACATTTTAAAGTTTGCATAAAAATTAATTAAGCTTAACATCTAATCGGTAATTTTCATTAAAAACTATTAACACTAGTTTCAGTTCATCCTCAGCTTGTCATGAAAAATTGAGACCCAACGACAGTTTGTAACTGAAATCATATCGAATTACTCTTTCACTGCCACGTGTATAATAAGTATCCCAGTACCATGTTTATAGATAAACAACTATCCTAGTACCATGTTTATAAATAAACAACTATCCCAGTATCATGTTTATAGATAAACAACTATCCCAGTATCATGTTTATAGATAAACAACTATCCCAGTATCATGTTTATAAATAAACAACTATCCCAGTACCATGTTATAAAT